AGGCTGTTACTCCTGTAGTCACAAGAATAGTGGGCACAAATAAATAAACAAATAAAAATAAAAAATCTTAGTCTTCCCCTTTTTGTTGTTGTTGTTTGTGGACCCACATTTTCTATTTTGAGTGATTTATGGCACCCAAGTTGAAACACTGGCTGTGTATTGCTAGGATGAGAAAATGGATACAAGTTGCTAGAAGGAGATGTCTTCTGGCTGATGTAAATCTGCCGAAATGAGCAACAGAGAGGCTTCTTCCAAGATTTTCCACATGGAAGCACAGCTCATTTCCGGCCACCTGGCTGTTTTGTATTCAAGTATCTCTGCACTCCCTATCTTTCAAAACTGAGCTTGAAAATTTCCCAACAGGAAGCTCCCTAAAAATCTATTTGACGCTGGCTCATTACTCTGGATTTTGTGCCTGGGAAATGTAGAAGCCATCCAAACACTCTGGTGCTGTAGGATGCATGTCCCCATGCAGCTCTCCAACACAAAGTTGGAGCTCATATGTCACTGACCACTTGCTGAAAATGGTACTCCATTTACATTTCATAGATCTTCACTCCATTTCTTCTTTCTAGGAGGCTTGTTGAGCTCACATCCTCCTTTTCCTGGCATTCTTCTTCCTAATGTCTGCAGTCTGTATCTGGAGTTCTCAGTTATGGTCAGAATTTCAGTTTCACGTTATTATATATATATATATATATATTTTAGAAAGCCCTGCAAATAATGCTTTTGTCTACTCAGATCAGGAAGTATTTATTTTAGTTGACAGTCAGTAAAGTTTCCCAAGGCCAATCTGGAAATCACACCAGAATTGGTAAGCGATCTCCTTGTTCTTTTGTTGCCCAGAGATTTCTAGCTTCAGTTCCCAATGAAGAGGGGCACCGAGAGAACAGCCTGGCGGGAGCGCCTCTGTTAGCTGTGCTCAACTCACCGCAGCATCAGAAACATTCACAGACACTCAGCCACTTCACTGGAAAGAAAATAGAGTGAACACAAGTAGCTTTGAGCTTTGCCTAGTTGTGATTGAAGCCAGTTCACTTTTGGGTGCCGCTGGACAAACGGAACCGCACTTCTCATTATCTGTCCCCACTGGAGTAAGAAACAGGTAGCAGTCCCTTAATTCTTCTAACTTACTTTAGAATCAATTAATTAATCAGTAGCTGTGACTAATTATTTACTTCCAATTAACCTGGAAATCATTTCAAAATGAAGCCAGAGAACATGACTTCCATGGTAAAATGGTAAGTTTCTGTTGTCAGTTGGTGACGTAACCTATGTGACATTACATACCCTATCTAGGCTTACCTTGACAATAAGGAAGGTGATTTATTTTGTACATTTGTTTCGTGCAGCTTTATTTATTTATTTTAGGGCTTATATAGTCCTTGTATCAAGTGGGCTGTTGTATTTCAAGGGGAATTTGTGGTCTGTATTTTATTACTTGTTAGAATACTAGCTAGAAAAAGTTAATGAACTGTACATGAGTCCAGTGATGTGATCGTTGACTGACTTGAACACTTTTGCCTTGCTAGGGAGTGGAAAATGGCTGGAGATACCTATATGACGCTTGTCCAATGAATACTTTTCCAAAGCTGAATAAAATTTCATCAGAAGAAAATCTGATCAGAATCAACAACAGGGCTCTGCTCTGAACTTAGGAATGGCTTATGATGTTGCATCTCTATGTGATGTTAAAAACAAACAAACAAACAACGGTTGGCTTGGCCTCAGTTGATATCCATTTCTATCACAGAATGGATCAGACCCTGATGATTACTGAGCTTGAACACCTCTGCCATGGGTCAGGCTGCCACCCACTCAATCGTGCTGCCCAGAGCCCCATACAGCCTGGCCTTGAACGACTCCAGAGATGAGTTAATCACAACTTTGCCAGGCATCCTGTACCGATGTCTCAATGCCAGTGTCTCGAGTAAAAAATTCCTGCCTCCTAATACCTAACTTAAGTCTCCTCTCTCTTAGTTTGAAGCCATTCTGCCTGATCCTGTCACTATCAGGTTGTATGGAAATGCCAAATCACAGCTTGAACAGGTGATCGAGCACCCGGTGAGAAGGTGGGGCCAACCCAGAGAAGCTCAGGTGCATGCAATGCAGCTGAAGGACTGGGAGGGGTGGAGCCAGGATCCACCCCTTCCCAGACCTCATTTAAGAGTTGGCAGTGGAAGAGAGAGTGTCTTGCTGGCAATTCCTGTCTCCTGAAGGCCTTTTGCAGGTAAGATGCTACTTTGTTTCTGCATCCACAGCTGCTGCTGTGTTTGGGCTTGTTCTCATTTGCTGCAGCTGAGGGCTTTGCCACCCTGCTGTTATTGCTGTACTTTCCATCACAGACCATGTAAAAAGTTGGTTCCCCCTCCTTTTTGTAAGTTCCCTTCAAGTGCTAGAAGCCATAATGGGGCATTTTCTTCTCTGAGGTAAGCAAACCCAATTCCCACAAATTTCTTGATAGGAAGGCTGCTGCAGTTCTTTGCTCATTTGGGGGCTTTTCTGTGGACACACTCCATGAGCTCCACATTCTCTCTCATGCTGAGGGCCCTAGGCACAGGGCTCCAGATGGTGCCTCATGAGGGCAGAATAGAGGGGGATGATTGCCTCCCTTTTCCTGACATCCCTCCCTTTCTTGATGCAGCCTGGGATACCCTTTGCTTTCTGGGCTGTGTGTGCTGTTAGTTCACTTCTAGTGCTTCTGGTCCACTGGTACCTTCGAGTTCTTCTCAGCAGGGTTGATCTCAGTGAGTTTTCCTCCTGGTCTGTGCTCATATCTAGCAAGGCTCTGAGCCTGGGATGTGTGTTATCAGGCCCCCCAGACTTGTATGCATTCAGCCTCTTCGGGTGGCCTCAGACTCATCCTTATCTTACAGTGGGAGGGATTTTGATCCTCCAGACTGTGCCCAGAGGTTTAGGGACACAAGAGATACAGAAAGCCAGACCACCAGCAAAGATTGAGTAGAAGGACATTGGGCACCTCAGCCTTCCCTATGTCTGTCATTGCATTTTTTTGCTTACAAGAGTGATTATGCTTTCCTTGCCCTTTCTCTTCTGAGCAATGTGCTTGTAGACATCCTTTTTTTTTGTTTGTTTGTTTGTTTGTTTGTTTTGTTTTTAATAAATCTTTTGCTGAGTTCACTTGCATCTGAACTCCTAGGGGCTGGAGAACTCTCATGCTCTCAGAAAGGCATACATACAGAACTCCTTTCATACTCCATTCTAACTCGGCATTTGAGAATATACAATTTTTTTTTCTTCTGCACATGGAGTGCTGTACTCTATGTTACATAGCGATTTCACAATTAGCCTCCTCTGCCTGAGTTAACTGAAAGCTGTGAATGCTGCAGAAACAGAACCTGTCAGAAATAATGCTGCTTGGCTGACATTATTTCCCCTTGGTGCAGAGGGGGAAAAAGAACCAAGGGAGTGATAGATCTCTCTGTTTTCTGAAGATTTTGTAACGACAGGACCTTTAATATTGGAACTTGTTTGCTACAAGAGAGTTCTTCCTTGTTGGTTGTTTTTGGGGTTCTATATGTGGCTCAGAAACAGTTGCTCAGAGGTGGGTAACTTACAGTGAACCTGTTTCATTCCCTGTTAAGTCTTGACAGAAGTGTGGTGTCACCTAATCCCTCTGTGGAGAGAGAGAGAGAGAGGGACTCTGCATACTTTATTCCTGTAAGGCAATAAAATGCTGCCTGAAGAATGCAATTTCTTCCCAGAGTAAAGAGTTCTGGTAGGGTGGGATAGAACAATGACACTGTTAAATGCTGATCTGAGTGCAGGGTTATTCACAATGTCATGGGTGGACGTCAGTCCAACTCTAAGCAAATCCCAGGGAAAGGGAGAATAAATTTAGTTTTGCAATCCCTGGAAAATCTTAAAGGCAAATTCACCTTTCTCAAAGCTACTGAAATTCTTGGCTGTTTATGCAGGTGGGCCTTCTTAATGGTAAACCTTCTGTAGGGTACATAGAACTAAGGCTTCTCTGAGCAGAGAACATATTGTGGAATTTACAATTTCAGTTGCCAAAAAGGGTAATTTCTAGATAATTGTTTTTTTTAGAAAAGTGAAATACTCTGAGTTGGAGGGGAAAAAAATAGTCATTGCAAACTTGCATCTGGAAATCAGATGGATTGGAAGCCAGTGATTTCTTGAGCATGGCAATTAAATTTCTTCTAACAGCTAGATAATTGTCCTGTCTTAGAACCAAGCAAAATCTTCTTTCAGTAAAATCTCAGATTTGGCCTCCTGTCTCAGCATAAGCAATGCAGAATAGGGTTCAGAGAGTCAGAGGATGACTTTAGGGATGTACTTTTCTATTTGGTCATCCTACTTTAACTGACAGTTATTAAAAACAAAATAGGAGGGCATCAGCCCAACAATCACCACAGCTGCCTTCCCCAGCAGTACTGACAGGTGAGCTCACTTCTCTTCCTCAGAGTTTGTTGGACCTGTTCTCATGTACTTTTGCTAGGCTTGTGAAGTTTGTGGGGTCTTAGCTCTAAGGAAATATATAAATGATTCTGCCTGACTTCTCCAAGACCAGCATGTCTAGGTAGTCTAAAGCACTCATGCTATAAGCAATAAGATTCGCAAGATGATAGCTGAAGCCTTTTTTTTTCCTCCTTAGTTTTCCTGCTTCTAGCACTGTTTTGTGTTGAATACACAACATTCTATGAACCCCTGAGTACAGCTAAATCACATCAAGTTTAAAAAAACTCTTCTTATTCCTGTATGGTTTATTTTTACTGTTATTTCTTTTTATTTAAAAAGAAGTCCACATGGTACATCATGAAGCATGGAGGTTTGGGGTAGGGGTTTACCTTCTCAGCACAGTAACCCAAAATGATATGGAAGGGAAATAATTATGGCTATAATTTCTGCAAGTGAGTGTAGAAAGGGGTGAAGGTTAGAGCTTCCTGCTCTGCTATGCAACTAGGGATCAGCATTCAATATAAACAACAAAAGAAAAGAACAAAGGTCAAACACTCGCGTGAATTAAGAATTAGGGCTTTATATATGATTTGTCATAAAAACAACAAAAAAAACCAAACTCCTTTCTTTCCCTGCCTGATGGAGGAACACACTTGTGCAGCCCAGGCCTCCAGCTAAAGTGACAGTTCATACTGCTGTTTTTAAGGAAAGACACATATGGGAAGCTCTCTTCTGAATGTGCACCCTGCCAAGAAATACATTATGAATCAATGAAAGTTTTTTGGCTGTTTTAGGCTTTATTGCTCGAAGTGGTTCTTGCTCAGCCATTCAGGCTATTAATGTTAGAAAACACACGTACTGTTACAAGGCATAAAACATGAATAGTTAAATGACTGGGTGCATAGCAATTAAATCTTTACTCTTAGCTATAGATTTACTATTGACTGAAGACTACATTCCACTGTTAGAGGGTTGCATCAACTTCAGTTAAGGCAGGCTGATTCAGTAATTGTTCTATCTTCTGTTGCTTTTAAGCTGTTCCTGGGTGTTCCAGTGACATCCCACTACTCTCTTCAGTTTTTCTACAACTGACTAGGGCAAGGGACTTGGATATGTACTAAGCCACAGTGAAAATTACAAGTTCCTTCACCAGAGGGTGGCTGGGTACCAGAACAAGCTCCTCAGGGCAGCAGTCACAGGCCCAGGCTGATGGACTTGGAGAAGCATTTGGACACTGCTTTTAGAGATAGCATTTGAAGTTCAGGTGGGCTCATGCACAGCTACAAGTTGTAGGCCCCTTCCAATTTAGTCTGCATTCTTACTCTGCACACAACAGACATTTCACTGAGCTTGTGTATTTGTTTGTTAAGCTTTTCCTCTCATATCACTACTACACTACTTTTTTCCCCTCTGGAAAAAAAGCTATATCCCGTTATCACCAGGAGCAACAGGTTTATGGCCTGCAGACACCTGTTTGCACTAATGAGTCAACCTAATAACTCACTGAGATGCTGTTGTTGAAGTCACACGGAGAGTAGTATCATATCTGAGTAAATCACTCCATTTTATATCCTATGTATCCTTTATATCCTCTAGATCCTTTATATATCTTTTATTATCTAGCTATTGCACTTCAATCACAGGAGAACTGGATCATTAATTAATTTATCTGCAAACTGTCATCACATAAAATACAATATGCCACATGCAAACATTTAATGCAAAGGCACCACCCTAGTGAAGTTCCATGTCTTTTGTTAAAAAGACAAAGTAGAACATTACTTAGTGGGTGGGAGCCCTCCCACCCCCCTTCAGCCACTCCTCTCTAGCCAAAAAATTTCCGAGACTGACCATCCCACCCTCCCACCCAAAAAAAGAATAACCTCTTTTGAGATAGCGCAAATCCCAGCAAACAGCCCCAAACCAGCAGCCAAAAGCACAGCTCCCAGTTTGTGGGAGCTGTGCTTTTGGCTGCTGGTCATCAATAGCCTCAAAGCCACCTAACACACACCAGACAGCTCCAAGACACCACTTCCAAAAACTGATACAAACCTTTTAAGCAACAAAACCAGCCAGTCACACCACAGCATCCTCTGCTCCTCCACCAGATCAGCAGAGAGATCCATCAGATCCCCACACTCCAGCACAGAAGGGCTGCTCTCACTTCACTCCATTCCTTCCAGGCCTGCAAGAAAACCACATCATCACACTGAGTCCCAGACATAAACTCCATCCCAGAGGCAGCACATAGGTAAGGGATAGACAGATACAGCTCACCATTCTTCACTGGAATCCTCATTCCAGCCATTAACATGCAGGAAGAGCTGTGAACCAGTTCCATCCTCCAGTGTGAGGGTTCATATCTGCGGATCCATCACTCACATACTCCAACTAGTCCTCACCTTGCAACAAGAACACAATCAGAGCCATACAGAATGGAAACACCTCTCTAGAGATCATCTGGCCCACTTCCCTACCACACATCACCCAGGAAAGCATCAAAGCACTACTGGAAGGAGGCTGGGCAGCCTATTCCATCCCTCCCACTTTGATCCTTCTCCTTTCTGCTTGCATAGGCCATGAACACACCACCCATCATCATCAACTGGGCTCCTGCACATCAGATATTCCCATCAGCCACCCTTCTCTCATCTAGCTGGACAATCAAGACAACATACAAAGCTACCCAGCACAATTCCCCCTCAGTGAACCCACCCCATCTGCTCCTTAGTCATTTCTCTTCTGGTCACTTGCAGATGACACACCTGGAACAAGTTGTCACATCACCTTCCCAGAGATGAGGCCATGCTTCTCACCCTCTCTAAAGCCTGCAGGGCCATCAGCTATCCTCCAGTCTTCAGGCACCTTTCCTGTAGGAAAAACCAGAGGAAGTGTGATAGGGAGCTATTTGGCAGTCACCTCTGACAGCTCCCACAGGCATTTGCTGGCATCCATTTTGCCAAGACTACCTTTGACCAGCTCCTCCAGAATCCAGGGTTCCCAACAAGCAGTCTCAGCAGCAACAACTGAAGACAAAAAGGCATCCAGTACAGAAATGCATCCCCATTACCAGAATCTCCACCTTGCAAAGCAGAGGCCCACACATTCTCTAGTCACCTTTTCTCTGTTGACAAACTTTTGTTAGTCTTGACCTCCCTCCTAAAGGTGATACTGAGAGGGCCTTAGCCTTCCACAACCCTTCTCTTCTTTCTCCCCTTCAAGTTAAACCATGAGTTCTCATTCACCCCTGCAGGTCTCCTGCCATTCCTGCTCAGTTCTTCACTGTTTGGGATGCACAGCTCCTGAGCAAGGAAGTAACACTCCAGCATCAACAATTGCTCACAGGACCCCCTCCAATGCTCTAACCCCAGGTGTACTTTCACATAGATCCTTTAAGAAGACAAAGTTGGCTCCCTTAAAGTTCAGTGTTTCAGTTCTACTCATTGCTTCACATCTTCCACACTGAACACTGCAGCTCACACCTACCACACTTGAGGCCACCACTGGTCTTCCTGTCCCCAAAGAGTCCTTCTACAACAGGGAGAGCAAGCTCCAGCAACACCTCTCTTCTCAATGGCTCCTTCAACACCTGTAGTATGTCAAAGAAAATCTTTTGATACAAGAACCTCTGGAATGAGCACTCTTGGCAGCCTTGCTTTCCTAACAGCTGACAGGGTGGTTCAAGTTGTGAGAAACACACTCTAGATCAAAAACTTCTAATCATAGATCTGTTAAGAACAGTTTATTCATTACTGCAATAATGGCCACACAATCCCCACTGACAAGGGAGAAATTGCACAACTAGCCAGTGAAATCCATTCTGTTACAAACCATGGGTCTGACGCAGGTAAAGCCTCCTGGCACTCCTTGGTTTAGTCTCAGGCTCACAACTTTCCAGCACTGTTGCTACATTACGCTTCCATACATCTGTCACCAACCCACTGTCTTTGTGTGCCCTGTACCTTTTATGGCAAGAGGATGACAACATTTTCAACAATTAGTACACTAGTTCTGTCCTGTACCAGACTCCCCCCTAGCCTATAAAATTATCTTACCTAGTGCCTGTGCCAATTTTACCTATGCCAGAACACCCCAGTCTCAGCTTTACTGTGCTCAGCAGCTTTCTTTGTGAAAGACAACTTACCTTATGCTACATACAGAATACTGGAAATTGCCACTGCAAAAAAGACAACCTCTCACAACTCCCCCTCTTCCTTTTTACCCTCTTGGGTTTTCAAACCAGACCACAAAATACCTGTAATAGTAGAAAACTACCTTACTATCCCAACTTGATGATTGATTATCATTTATCAAAATGAATCTTGCTATTTTCCCCATATATATATATAAACATTATTAATAACAATTTTTTCACCATTGTATAATTCCTCCCAGTATGAACAAGCAGCAAGTCTGGAATCAGAGCATAATCAGCATTAGAGGCTCTAAACTACCAAGGAATTCAGGAAAGATAGGGAAGTTAGCAATAGTAAAGACAGAAATTCTAGCAAACAGTTTACAGAGCAGGAATAGTCACCACCAGGGAATCCAACAGTGTCTTATTGGTCCATGGCAAGGAAGCAGGTTGGTCAGCAACATCTCATTGACTTACCCATTCTTCCTCAGAACTCTTCAGGCCTGCCTACCTCAGTGATCAGGGTCATCATGTCGTGTCCATCATGGTGATGGTAGCTGCCACGGTATCCACCTTTTGTTCATCAGGAGGAACAACGCATGTCTTCTCACCTCTGTGCTCACAGTAGTCAACCATTTACTTCAAAAGCTTGTTGGGCAGGTCATGCCTTGGATGGATGCCGTTGAACAGGCTCTGAGCCAAGCATTCTCCAGCTTCTCATGGATCAGATGGCTGCCTCTGAACAAGGTTTGAGCCAAGCACTGTTCCCTCTTCTCACACCACCCAGTGCCACAAAGCCTGTTGTCACTGTCCCATGGTGGTTTCAAGAAAAAAAAAAAATAAAGGGGGAATGAGGGGAGAAAGGAAAGATACATGTTAAAAATAACACACAGGCAAAGGAAAAAAGTGTGAGTGCTGACACACACACACACCTCACCTTATCCATGGATCACCAGGAGGCTAGGAAAAGTAATCTAATACCTGGGCAACTTTCAGACTCCTTGGGTAATTCGAGCCAAGTCAGTCACCTCAGCATGTGCCAGACTTTCACATACAATTACAACCAATATATACAATGTTATGGTTAATATGATCACAAACGCATGAAGCACAGAATTAAAAACTCCTCTTGCTGTTGGTGACCATCTAAGGAGCATTTCCCATCAGTGGTGTTCTCCATCCTTCTTCACCCTTACCAGAAAATGGTGCATCTCCCCCATATCATGGAGAACAGTAATCTAAGTTCTTTTTGTCCCTTATGTTGAAGGCAGCCTAACAACTGGTACAGATTGTCACATTGCAATAATTTCTTTACCAAATAAGATTCATTTCAATTGGTGCAGGTGGCAAATCTTGGATTGATGTATAATTGGACCACAGCAACTGATAGGACATAACGGGAACTGAATAATTAGAGTCACATCCCATAATGTTAGTAAAGTTACACACACAGACATTTGAATACAGTACATTTGAATGATTGCTTGTATCTACAATATTACCTGTGAGTATAAAATTATAAGAGGTCCTCATACACACACATCCTTTTCCAATATAGATGAGCACTATTTCAGGGGTCTCATTGGGACACCTCCAAAATGGCAAATAATTTGCTCAGGGTCAACACAAGCATATCAAGTCTTGATGGTATTACTCTCAAAATAAATCCTTCTTTTTCCCCATACAGCACATGAACTAACATCAACAGTTTGCCATTTGTTCCCATTTTATTGGGCCCATACTCTGTGTTCCAATGAATAGGGCATAACCTCATTGTGATTCAGTCCTTGCACAATGATTGGGTACGCAGTATGTATCAAAGCATTGCTTATTGTTAGGACAAAAGCTGCAGCAATGTTATTAACAGGATCATAAGTAAAATTAACTAGACACCACCAAGACTGAAATTCTCTTTTAAATTTGTTTGCATTGTCCCAACCCACCTTTCAAATTTCAGTGGGTAAAGCTTTTCCTTTACCTTCTACACATAAAAGCTAGGAAGACGCTGAGTTTGACAAGTGCATCTACAATTAACTGATGGTCTTTTATATTAGCTCTTTCCCACTGAGATAATACATTAGATAAAAACTTCTGATTGATTCCCCAATGCTGATAGGGAAAACTGCAGGGTTGTTGCAATGCAGGTAGATCACTTATTTGACACCCTACTTCTATTCTTTGTCCTACATCTCCCCAGAGTTGCCAGTACTATCCTGGCCCCATTCACTTCCTGAATATGTTTCAGGACTGTGCTTAACCATGGTGGAAAGGGTTAAGCCTCTGTTACAATTAGAATTCAATCCCATATACCCAGTATGTCCAATACGGGCATGGGACCATGACCAGCCAGTGAATGTGACAGGATCAGCATAAGCTAATACAAATATTTATCTGAATATGCCTGTCTGAAACAGTGACATTAATGATACCACAGGGATCCCAGAGAAAGGAGCAGAGTGAGAAGGGAACATGTGAGACTCAGCAACAGGATCAGCATTCATTAGCATACAGAAAACAAAAGAGAGAGCTTCCCAGTTTCAGAGTGTATAATCAAAGAGTATACAGCTGTATAATCAATCAGTATACAGAGAAGCTAGGTTGGAAAGATTACTGTGTTAGAAAGGGATAATCAAATGAATGGAAGGCTTACCTGTGTCCTGGGCTCACAGAAAAAGACTCCAAGAGGAGTGATCTGCAGAGAGAGGTCCTTCCTCAGTAAATCCTCAAATAGGGCTTAGGAGAGGAACAGCCAGGCTCCACCCCTTCCAGTCACACAACTGAATTACCTTCACCTGTGCTGCCACAGTTGACTTATGACTTGTTTTGGGTGATCAATCAGAGGTTCAGGCCATGATTCAACAGTTCCCATACACAGAAGAACCAAGGTTAGAGAAAGCTCAACTAGAAGAGACAAGAGCAAAGAGAAACTTTTCTGGTCCCAAATGAACCACAGTTGGAAGGCAGGTGAAATCCAGATGGTTACTTTACATCTTCCCCTGATCATCTTGAGCCTTCCAGATGTATCTGTTAGAGGCTTTTTGAGCGTGAAAGTGACAGGATCAGCGTGCAGCAAATCAATCGATATCAGTTGTCCCAGGGAGTAATAATCCCATTAACCAGCTCTTTGAGTAAGGGACCACAGGGCACAGTGGTTGCCAGCACTAAAAAAAGAAAGAAAAAAAAAAAAAAAAAAAAAAAAAAGAAAATATTCCAGGTCCCCAGTAACCATCTGACTCCTTTTTAATCAAAAAGATCTGTTCTCCCCATCAGTGGGTCTTTCCACACATACTGCCTCTGATTTCCTAAGCGTGTAACCAAAATCTTTCTTTAATTTGGCCAACTCTGTAGAAAAATAGGGGACCTCAATGCTAACAGAGTACCCACTTTCACCCTCTTCATATGCATGCCCAGTTTCTATCAGAGGGCAGAGAAGGGTCACCAGGTTTTCTGATTTGTCTTTTTGTGCTCTCACATCCTCCAGGTTTTCTCCTGGAGGGAAGTCACTATCTAGAGAGCTAGTATTTATCTCCCTCTCATTACCAGCGAGAAATACTGAAAATTTCCATTGCAAAAGCACAACCCACCTCTCACAAAGTCTACCATGAGAACTAATGCCCACAGCTGTGAGACTACTTTCAGCTGTGTGTAGACAGTCTATCAACTTCCTCATCCTGGTCTGTAACCAACACCCCCAGTGATGTTACCCACATTCACCTGCCTCTTGAGTCTTACGTGCAAGTACTCCACTAGTTCTTCATACATCCCCAGGCAGACCTCAGTATGTTCCTGTTCTCTCACTGGAAGAGCAACTCCACCACGTTGCCACTCTGTCTTTCCTAGAAGAAAGAACAGAACCATCGACAACAGCATTCCAGTCGTGTAAGCTGCCCCACCAGGTGTCCACAAGGGGAACGAGATCATCGTAGTTACACACAAAGGAGGAGAAAAAAAAAAAAAAACACACCACCAAAACGTGGTCCCATCCTTCTCGCTCCTACTGCTGGAAGCAGCCGGGGCTGAAGCACCCCCACAACACTCCTCGGGGGTGAGACCACCCCAGAGTCGTGCTCAGTCTCAGGCTGTTGGGCAGCAGCTCCATGCCGACCCTTCTAAAAAGACACGAGGAAGCCCAGAAGCGGCACAGTACCGATACCAGAGACTCAAAGGTAGCCAAGCAGCAGCCCTATATAAGCCCCGAGAAGAGAGATCTTACCAAGCGACTCTGAAACACTCACCAGCTCGGGCTGACGAGAGGCTCTATTGCAGGCTGAGCAAGGGCTGCAGGAGGAGAAAACTTCTGTTTCAGCAGCAGTTTGCGTTGCTTCTTACTCCTAGCAGCACTGAGGCTATAGGAATACGGCTCCAATTCTGCTTGCTCCTATTCATGAGAGCAGGAAGAACTAATGCACCCGCTAAAACACAAAAAAAAAAAACCACAACAACCTGGGGGAAGGTGAGCACCCCGGAGAGCACCACGGGGCTGGGCTGGGACTCGGATCTGAGAGGCAGCCCCCTCCGAAAACGCGATGGGAGCCGGGCAACGACGCTACTTCGGCTGCAAACAGCCTGGGGAGCCTGGCAGCAGCCCTACGCCGGCCCCGGGAAGAGCAGGGTTCGACAACCCGGCAGCCTCCTGCTTCAGCCCAAGAGATCCTAACAGCTCCCGAACGCCCGCCGCCTCCACGGTCCCCCTTACTACCAGAACTGCTCGCCGGTTTGGGCTGATCCTCACCGCGAGTGAGGATCCCACAGCAGCCTGAAACAAAACGACACAACGAGAACATTAAAGAGGATCCCAAGGCTCTATTTTAAAAGCAGTCCCTCGTAGAAGCAGCCCTTTTCAGCCGCAGGGCCGGTCAAACGAACGGAGCCCATTCCGTCTCCCACACAGAGCCGCAGGAACTCCGCCGTGGCTCCCAGCAGCCTCCGGCTGAGCTTAAGATGCTCTGGGAGGCTTTGGGGCGGGTCCCGCCCGGGGCTCCCGACGAGCTGCAGCTGTGCGCGGCCCCGCGGCACCTGGAAGTCGCTGCAGTTACACATGTGGACTCTAGATCCGAACTAGGGACTTAAATGACACTTTAAATTACAGTTTGTTATGCGCTTCTCCTTCTCATCTCACTGTAGGATTCATTAATAAGTTAAATAATTAATATCCATAATATGTTAGAGTGTCCCTGTAAAGCAAGCAGATTAAAGGTCATTTTTCTTCTCTCTGAAAACAGAGATGGACATTTTAGTAAGGGCTATTCACAGCAGTAATAGGGAGCTACTAGTTATCTGTGTGCTTTTTGCTTTTCGTGTAAGCAAGGGAGATGAAGGTGGGGCTTCACACCAGAGTGTCTAGGGGAAACGGACATAAGCTGCAGCATAGGAAGTTTTGAACGAATGTGCGCAAGTACTTTCAGATACTTTGGTATATGCATGGGAACTGCTGAGTCACGGCCTGAACCTCTGATTGATCACCTGCGGTGAGCAATGAGTCAGCCAGAGGAGCACAGGCGAAGGCAAGCCTGGCTCCACCCCTCCTAGACCTATTTAAGAGCTGGCTACCAATAGGGAAAGATCTCTTCTGGAGATTGCCTCTGCTGCTATTTTGTGAGTGAGCCTAGGATAGGGGAAAGCCTTCTATTTATTCTCTTTTGTTATCATAGTCTGCTTTGCCTAACTCTCTTGTTTAGTTTGTGATTATGACATCCTGATATTCTTTGATTATACAGGTATAGATCTTGGTGGAGTGGGCTGGGAGGGGTTAGATCTGTGCTGACTAATCCGCACATCTCTAGAGCCTACACGTACACTTTAGAATCATAAAATCATAGAATCATTAAGGTTGGAAAAGACCTCTAAGATCATCTAGTCCATCAGCTCATCTCCACCATGCCCACTAAACCACATCCCTCAGTGCCACATCTACATGTTTCTAAACACCTTCAGGGACAGTGACATTACCATCTCCCTTAGCTGCCTGTTCCAATGCAGTATTGCTTTATGAGAAGATTTTTTTTTTCCTAATATCCAATCTGAACCTCCCTGGAGCAACGCTAGGCCATTACCTCTCATCCTGTCACTATTCACCTCAGAGAAGAGGCTGAACTCCACCTCACTACAACTTCCTTTCATGTGGCTGTAGAGAGTGACGAGACTAACCCTGAACCTCCTCTTTTCCAGACTGATAAATCCTAGATAAATCCTTGGGTGAAGGATTCTGGAGTAATCTGCCCAAAATTTGTTCCAAATTCCTGATGGGAGGAAGAAGAGCAGAATGGGAGTTGTTCATGTATCAACAACATAATAATGTTAATACATAATAAGGTTAATACTTCACTGCCAGAGGTGTTGTTGTGAAACCACTTCTTTTGATGCATTTGCCTTCCCCGAATTCCCCAAGGCATGGAGATATGCCCTCTGCTTCCTAATAAGTTCATATTGTTTCTTTTTTTAGTCTATGTACAAACAATGTAAAGATATACAGAAAAACAGGTTCCTGCCTTCTTCACCTGCAAACTCATCAGTTGCTGTAGAGAGGGAAGATTCTAACTTTCATTGGACAAAGCCAACTTAGCCAGTATGGGAACATCTCCAGTACAGATGTTTCTTTCTGAAGGTGCAGGGCCAGCCAGGTCACCCAGCAGCAGGATGCAGGTGTCACTTTTTCTCTCCGAGGAACTCAGAGGCTACCATTCTTGCAGCTGTGTCCAATAGCACTGATGCAGAGGACTATGACTCTGTCTACTACAGGAGCAATGCCTCAGATGAGGATTCCTGCAGCCACATTTACAATGTAGTTGCAGAGTCTGACCTTGATCTCCAGCAGTGCACTGCTGACATGTTGGACCTTCCTGATCTCCCATGTATCTGGAAGAGGATGCTGTTTATTTCTCCAAGCAAGACAGATGGGGGCAGATGGTCAATGAGTTTGAGACAAAAAGAGGAATAGAGAGGAGTCCAGCCCCTGTCAAGGGGACTGGATTGTATGGTGATAATGGCATTAGCCTGGAACTAAAAAAACAAACACGGGAAAAGCACAAAGTTGGATGCCTGCAAACCCCAGCATGGCCAGAACAGCCAGTAGAGGGCAATGGGATCTCATAACACAAGGAACATCCTATCCCCACAATCCCTCGTGGGACGGAAAAGTAATGGGGCGGGCTCCCTCTTACCTCCTCCTGTTTTGCTTGGAAATGAACAGACTAGTGGAGCAGCAGTTGTTTATCTTTCAGAATAACACAGTATTCGTTAATATTGGTTAATATTGGTAGCCTTTCAGTGAGCTGGTTAATGATGATATTATTTCTAAACACTGTTCCAAACTAGTTCTCTGCCAAGGAGAATGCGTTAGTGGCAGGCAGTAGCCTGCCAACTCCATAAACTACCTCTTTGATCATGCTGCAAGGACTTTGCTTTTGCTAAGCAATAATTTAATTAAAAACAACTTTACCACACTTTTGATGTTAGAGGACACGGACTTTAGAATAAAGCTGGGTGGTTTTGTTTACTGAAACACCACTGTGATAGCACACAGTGTTTGTTTGCTTTCCAAAACTTACTTGATTTGGATGAAAATAGGAAAACAAAACAAACAAATGAAAAAAACAAAAACAAAACAAAAAAAAACCACAGATTACCTTCTGCTGGAGCTACAGTTCTTTCACTTCCTTCCTCTCAGCTCTTTGTAAGGTGGCTTTGTGGCCCTTCTCTATGGATGTAATCGCACTGCATGTGGCTGGTTGGGTAATGCAACACTGTGCTACTGGTGAGGTATATGAGGTGTTCTGGGAGGAAAGAGACTGCAGAGCACCTGAGAACTCTGTAGATCTGCAGACTGCTGGAAGTGTTTATTTTCTTTTAAGAGGGGAAAAATTTTGTATTATCCTTGTGTATTGACACCTGTCACTAGGGCTTCTTATTTACAGTTTTGGTTTAGGTGGGAAGTGTGTTTGGAGTCTTTAGGGAACTAAAAGGAAAATACTCTGGCAGGTTTCCTTCAGTGATTTTGTTTATTTGTTTGTTTGTTTGTTTGTTTTTCTGATGTGGACCATTGGCTGTGAGTGTATGACTTTGTCTACTTCTCCTTAGAGTTGACTTCCAGCAGTACTGTTCTGCTGCCAGATGGCAAAATGAAATGAGAACAGGCTAAGTTCTGACTGATATAGCCATTTCATGCCAACTTGGTTTGACTTTTCCTTTGGAACTAAAATTTGAAAATAAATGGAAAGAAGTGAGAGAAGAAGCAGACAAGGAAAGGAATTTGTTTTCTTTGTCCCATTTTTTTTTTTTTTTTAACTAAAATTTTGCTTAATCTGGCACAGCCATAAATAGTGTATCAGATTATTCCTTACAATCAGATAGGGTGGGCACTGAATTAAATGAAGACTAAACATCCAGGGCACCAGTAGCTGAAAAATTCCTGTACATATCAGTAGAAACTGGAACGGAAAAAAAAAAAAAAAGAAAAGAAAAGAAAAAAAAAAAAAAAAAAAGGCTAAAGCAAGCAATTTAAAATCCATTTTAAATTCATATACTGTGGTTATAAAATGATCCAGAAAACTGTATTTCTTTATATGCTTGCTTTATCTCATTTAAGTAAGTTTGTTCTTTACTCCCAATTACTCATTATTAATCAATCAAGCTTTATTTTCTTTCATTGCAGGAACACCTCAGAAGTGCCTCCTTGACCCTTGTATAGCCTTGCCTTCCAGCAGTACAGTGTAGGTGGGTCAATTATGGCATGAGCCATAATGGCATAAGTATGAATCTAGTTAAGGCATTGAGTCAAGGGCATGGGGAAACTTGATGCAGTCTTAGAAAAACAAACACTTTATGATGTAAAACGAGGGTGGTGATGCTACTTTTCTTAACCCTCAGTTAACTTGCAGGCACTGTCAAGCACACTTGGATGAAATAAGCAACAATAGTTCTTCCTTAAAAACTGTAGTCTAAGATTTCAATGTACTTTGCACCAAAAGGTACAATGAAAAAGCTACGCAGAATTTCTGTTGTTGGATCCTCTCAGCCAATGCCTGGATGAACTGAGTTCATTAAGAAACCTTTAACCAACTCATCTGAACTGATAAATCAAATATCTTTCTTGCCCAGTCCTTATCAGAAAGGCTGTACCATATGCCTGGTTAGCTTCTTGTTTATATCTTGTTTTGTTGGATCATTTGACCCATTGAAAACTAACAGGAGACAGTGTACTGTGCCACTGTGGATCACTGTATATCTTTTTCCTTAGCACTAACTACAAGGAGACTCATCTGAAATTCATAAGGCAGCAGTACATAACCAGATTTCGTTGTTATTGTTATGTAATTGTTATTGACAATTTTTTTTGTTGTTGTTGTTGAAAGGCCATGTTTTTCACACCTCTCGAGTGTGGAAAATAAATCATAGCAGATTCCTTCTCTTCCACTATTCCACATGAGCTTTAGCCAAAGCACGTAGGACGCCCATCACATTTGAGAGAGCACGTGTTTGATATGACCGCTTCCAAAAGGGATGATATGTATGGTTAATGATGATGGCTAGAGAAGGAGCTGAGTCACCACTCCCTCTTAGAAGAGGTGAGAGCTGCAACAAAAGTCTTTTTCTTGGGGTCATTTACCCAGTGGTGTCTTGCATGAAACGTAGTGGTGAGGAACTTAAAGAGCTTGTTGTATGCTATAGCTTTGGGGTAAAGTGAGAGAATCAAGACCCAAATTATGACAGTTGCCACAGAAGAGAACAGGTCAATCAGAGTAATGAATTAAATGAAACTGAAATATAATCATAAGCTTAAAACATCTCACTTGAGCATGAAACATGCTTGCTTTAACTGTGTGAACATTGGCTTTGGTTCATTCATAAATTCAAATTTTTTCTTACCTTCCAAGCCACTGCTGCTAATGTCCCACCAGAAGATCCTTGTTTGTCCACCTCCTAATGCAGTGAGTTCATGCAAGTTCTTATTCCTCATGGGATGCGGGTCATGAACTATAGGGCTGTGACAGCTGGCCAGTTCCTGTCAGAGCATTTCATAACAGTCATAACAGTCCCAGTCTGGCATGATTTGCAGAAAACTCATGCCAGAAAGCTCTGAGGTTCTCCATTTCCCTCTATCACCATGCAGTTGGCATAACCCCTTAGGAAATGACTTGGGGTCATCAGCCAAGGGAACTAATCGAGCTCCCTGGCACCTATGCCTCTGTCTTTGTACCCAGTGGTCCCACTGCTTACTCACTGCTTACCTTCTTGTAGTGGATCCCCCTATACCACCCTGAGCTCTCTGCACTTTTCTTTGATGAGGTCTATATTAGACACGCTTCCTTCATTTCCTTCCAGTTCCTTCCACAGTCTTTCTTTCTCAAGTTATTCTACATTTTCTTGCCTACAATTTAGAGTTGGGAAATGTGATTTGCACTTTTACCGTATTTGCTCTATTTTGCCGTGGTTAGGACAAATCCCATCTGATGGATCCAAACATCTGAAAAAATGAAGTGAAAATCCATGTGGTTTCTGCAGTATCCTCCAATCAGAAACTAAAGATTTCCAAAGAATTAGAAAATATGTAAATCTGTCTGAGGGATCTTGTATGGAATTTTAGGCGGATGAGGAGAATTGCTGGTGCTGTGTTCTTCTGCATTCTGCATCACACTTTGGGCTACTTGCTGAAGAAACTGTAATATCCCAGCTTTCTAACAATTGATGGGAAGATGATGTCAGCACAGTAAAGGACAGCCTTCCTGCTACAACCATCCTATACAGGCTATGCAAATTGATGGCATCACTTTTTAGTGCTGTATAGTTTCCCTGATTTCTTCCTTTATCTTCCCAACTCCCTCTGCAACGTCTGTGATTCTGTCTCTGACAGCACTGAAAATGTAGTGAAGGCACATATTATAGTACCTAGTGTTCATAACTATTCCCTTTTTTCTTCATGTTTTAAATGCATTACATTTAATCTGTTTTCTATATTGTAGTAGTAAACTGATATCTGATAGCATAACAAAAGGTTCTGCTACTTGATGATTGCTGAGCTTCTCTGAGACTTTGTCAATTGCTGAGTTTGTCCATCAACATCTTTCTTATTGATATGCACTGTTTTCAAACCATGCATGCTTAACAGCTTGCTGTCCCAAATCCTGACTTGCTGCCTGACTTGGGGAAGGGCCTCTTCTCACTTAATGCTGACTATAATTTAGAGCTAGATTTTGCTCAAACATGATCAGCAACAGGAACAACAGAGTGTTTTACTGCTGAGGTCACTGTACTGATCACACAACAGGTGATAAGGCCTGAACTTCCTTGCCCTTTCAGAGACCAAGCGAGGACGTAGCAATCTGTTATATGTTCTAAATGACTGAAGAGCAGAAGTCACGTCACTGGCTTGGTCCTGAATCAATTGAATTGTGTTTTGGGTCCTGTGAGTTTAGAAACCTCATGTGCTAGCTGGTCAAATGGCATTTCTGAAGTCACCTGAAAAATAATGACAAGGTTTGTTACTTATCTTGAGTCCTACCAGCACAGCATGTTACAAGTAGGCATGTTTTGTAAATTGTTGAATGCTGAACCTATTGTTGAATCTTATTACCTCTGGTGATGGCAAAGCCTTTGTCTTGTAAGCCAGAAGTTGACAGTGTGATTTTCTGCAAGGAGCTAAAAAGAATCCTACCTGAAAATGGTAAGATTTTAGCAGCAGATGTAATTCACAGCAGAATAAACACGATGCTTTCCACAGGCTAATCTGCAAAATGAGAGCATTCAATTAGGTAATACATTTTAATGTACGGACATGGGAGCCTGAGGATGGGTGCACAACATCATGACAACAGTCAAGTCGGATCAGGATCCTGTCTAACATTGGCTGAAAATGAGGTCCTAAGAGTAGCAGCAATGCAGCCATAGAGGAATTGTTTCTTAATTGCTCTCCAGCATCCAGAAATTCCTGGGCATTTTTGAGTACCCTCAATGGATTTTTCTGACATGGCTTTGCCCAATTACTTCTGAATACATATAAACTTAGTATCTACATCCTGGCTAAAATTGTTCTGCAGCTCATGATCTGTAAAGAACTGTGTCCCTTTCCCTGAATAAATGATACCAGTTGCTGTTTTAGCATTTTCTGACACCATGCAGATGGCCATAAAGCTGTGGGAAGTTGTCTAGAGGGCAGCCATTGCTCAGGCAATGCTGGCTGTTGGTTGGTGGTGATGTGTGGAATCAAACACTATAACCAGAATAATCATAAAGCAGTATGTTTACTCAATGTTGGATGCATCCTTATGCTGGATGAAGCGGGGAGTATTCCCTCCAAGCCTGTATACCAGATGGCAAGAAAGGCGCATATTAAAAGAACAAGTTGCTTACATATGCATTAGATGTCTAAGAAAAGGTTGGGTTATTACAATGAGTCCCCAGAATGACTGACATTTTTCCCTGCCCCAAGTCTTAGTTCTTTTGCACGTGTGTGGTATCTCTCAGTGGTTGTCTGGTGGTCTTTTCTGATGAAGGACGGATGTCTCTCTTGCTGTGTACTCTCTGACCTGGGTTAAGTTGGAGGATGCTGACTTAGCTCTAGCTGGTGGTCTTATTGGCTACAACTCCGTCCACAAATCCTCTGCTTCTTCGTTAATGTATGGCTTTACTGTCCTACCCTGTTGCCTTGCACTGCAGATACAGGATAGCTAACAATGTTATTTGGAGAAACAGGAGACTCACTGTCTGTACTGACTGTCTAAGTCTGCAGAAAAGCATTTATTATTGGCAGCTAAAACCTGCCTTAGAAAGGACAGATCTGTAGCTGATTTAGAATCCCATTAATTTTCATGGATCTTCACATCTTTAGAAAGTTTCTTGAAACATCACACATTGAAGGAGACCACAGGAACTACAGAGCTCTATCCTTTTTCAATAACTAGAGATATCCTCATGCAAATGCTATGGACAACATGGAGTGCCTACAACACATTGTGACAAATGGAGTTAATTTCCCAAAAATCTGCATGCTTGGCCTCAGAACAATGTCATTAAACCATTCCAGAAGTGAAGGAGAAATACCTAAGAAAATTGCAAAGACTCCCTTTTCATATTCACAGCTACCTTCACTGTGCACATCTATTTGAGGGGTCAGCAAGAATTATTCTAGGCATAAGGACAAGAGCAAGACTTCAAGCATACATTCAGCAGATGAGCTCTACTATTTCTGCATTTTGAGATCATTTGGCAGTAAAAGTCTCTCTCTCCATGCAGCCATACTGCTCTTTCTTTGTGCCTGCTCACGCTCAGTGCTGTCAAGGCTCTTACTTCTGGTGGGACAGTGCGCAGAAAATCGTATCTTATTTGCAGAACCGAGGCCAGGCTACTTGACTTCCCATGGCAGATTTGACACAAAGTCTTGTCACTCAGCAACACAAAGAGTGGCTTTAACCTCGATTAATTCATTCTTTGCCCTGTTGCTATTAATTCCAAGGACTTAAGAACATCTGGAAGTATAAGGAGTTGCTAGGGAGCTGGAAAGCACCTGTGGAAGCGTCAGCCAGTTG